GCCCAGGACATCCCCAGACCAGCCCAGAACAGGCCCAAGATGGGCCCAAGAGCGGGAGCAGGAGGCTTCCAGAGACCTCCGAGAGGCCTCCAGGACCCCCCAGAGGCCCCCAACACACCCCCGATCCCTGAGAGGCCCCAACGAGACCCCGACGAGGCTCCAAGAACAGCCCAAGAGAGCTGCGAGAGCCGTCCCGAGAGAGCCCAAAGAGGGTAAACTTGTTGATTTCCCATGGTTTTTCTAACGTTTTTCGCCTTCTCACGTTTTCCCGCTTCCAACCCTCGAAGATCGATGAGGTTTTGTAAAAAATCGAAATTCCCAGAATTCCCTTTTTTTTCAAAGTTGGACTCCTACTCGAGGGTCCCACACATCCCCTGACATCTGGCCGGTATCGCGCCTCCTGGCTTCCCGGGGGGAAGACCCCAAGACGCCGAAGGACAGCCCATGACGACCTCAAGGAGCCCCCAGAACGTAAAGAACGGCCCAACACGCTCCCGCGCAGCCCGAGACACCCTTCCGGCGGCCCTCCAGGCCTCCTGGAGGCCTCCAGAAGCTCCAGGGGGTCCGGAAGATCCCACACCCCTGAGGGGCCCAGCTAACAAAACCCGCGAGGCACAAACAAAAGACAGCGCCGAACAGCGCCGAGGAACTGGAAAAGCATGAAAATCCCACAATTCCTTTTTGTTCTCCAAGTTTGGCCCCCGGTCCACTCTTGCACAACAGACCACAATTCAGACCCCCCTCACCTCCCAAAAAAGAACCTAAGAAGCCATTGAGGGCCCCAACTCGTTGAATATCTAAAGGAAATTAATGATTTCTGCGTTTCCGCACTTCCCCTTCTATATGATTCTGAGGCTTGAGCAGGGCCTCCAAGGGAGTCCCTGGACGCAAGAAGCGACCAACATGATATTACATTAGTTAGCCTATCAAGCCTAGCTAGAACTTGAGCGCGCGCGAAGCGCGCGCGATGGATCTAGTATTGCATGTATACATATAGCATGCATGCATGCATATATGTATGTTTGTATGTACATGTGCATGCATACATGCACGTATGAGTTTTTATGTACGTATGCATGTATGTATGCATGCTTGTATGTATGTATGGAGGCATTGGTTGTGTGTTTGTATGTATGTATGTTTGTATGTATGTATGTATGTAAGTATGTATGTATGTATAACGCACTGTGCTATAGTCATATTACTTTTATTATGTATGCATGTATGTATGTATACATATGGTACTGTATATACATATATATGTGATCGAGGCCGCTTCGGGGGGAGGGGGGCGGGGTACCCTCGTGCTCTTCTCGAAGAAGGAACACGATCTACATGTATATAGATTTGTATGTAAACTCTTCGCGCTCGGCGCGGATCTGTTGGATCCGCTCTTGGATCCGCGCGGATCGCGAACAGTTCATGCTTTTGCTGTGTTTATTGTTATGTCTCTGTCTCTCTCTCTCTCTCTGTCTTCTTCTGTTTCTCTCTCTCTCTCTCGCTCGTTCTCTCTCTCTCTCTCTCTCTCTCTCTCTAGATATACTTATATATAGTTCGACCTACACGTATACAATTATACAAAAATATTTATATATGTTTATACACACATACATTCATACATGCACATGATCGAGGTCGCTTCGGAGGGGGCGGGGTACCCTCGTGCTCTTCGTGCTTGTGGGATGCTCTTTTAGCATCCTGGGGAGGCGGGGCTCCTGGGCCGCGGGCGCCCGAGGAGGCGGGCCGCCGCGGTCACATTTTCACAGCTCGAGCACGGTCGGACCGAGGTGTATAGTATTGATCGAGGTCGCTTCGGGGAGGGTGCTCTGGTACCCTAGTGTTCTTCATGTTTGTTGGTCGCTCTTGTGCATCCTGGGGCAGGACACCCTTGAATGTCCTTCGGTTTGGGCCGGCAGAGGGTCTCGTGTTCTTGAGGGGTGCTCCTCTGGCCTAGCTCCGACTGTAGGAGATCGACTGCAGAATTGTTGTCTCACTATTAATTTGTTCCTCGACTCTGCTAAAATGAGATCGAATCTTGGTAGACCTGCGAATCAAGGCATTTTCATACGAACAGTTGTCAGTCGTGGGGCAACTCAATTTTGTAGTCGATCTTCTGCTCGAGCAGTGCTGGAGGTCTGGGGCGGCCAAGAAGGGGTTGGCGGTGGACATCATAGCGGGGACCATGGCTTCTCCCCAGATATCACCGCGCCTCTTCATCGCGTCCCCATTCCCCCCCTCCCTGGGCCGCGCACGTGCCGCCGGCCATGAATGGCGCCCCCCCCTCTTGGAAGCCCTCTGTTGGACGCTCCCGTACACCCGCCGCCTCGGGGACCGATGTCCCAGCTGCCTAGGGCCCCGCGGGGCGGTGGATATGGATAGCCCCGGGGCCCAAGAGGCCCGGAAGAGGCCCCGGGAGGCCGCAGGAGGCATCCACGAGGCCTCCCGTCCAGGACCCAGGCAGGGTGGCGGGATGGGCCGATGGCCGCCAGACATCCGCGCGTCGTGCCCGCTGCCTGCTGGAGCTTTGGGACATCTGGGCCACGCGAGAGAGTGGGGCAGGGAAATCAGAGCGTGAATTACCTACCCCGCTTTCGCTTCCAGGCAAAACCAAGTCATACCACGCGCCTCCTCGTCAAGCGGCCTGACCAGTACAGGCCGTAGTTTGGCATCGCTTGGTATCTCTTGGAAGCGAGGGTGGTCAAAAGTGAGGTAGGTTTGTTTGCCCCCTAGGAAAGGGGGGGGCTACGACATCTGCTGCATGCAGCTGGTTTCCGCTCCGCGGCCGGGCCCATCCCACGGTACATGGGCGCCTCCCGGCGCCAGGGGGCGCCAGGAAAACCAGCTACAACCCTCGTCGAAATTGAACGCAAGTTTTTTCCGCCCCCGTCGCCCCCAAATTTCAATGCTCATCGACAGGCGCATCGCGGCCGGCGGGGTCCGAAGAAAATCTCGAAGTCGCCGGCGTCGGCGTGAACATTGAAATTGGGGGTCGGGGGGCGCCGCCAGGTCGCAGCTAAAACTTGCGGTCAATTTCGACAAGGGATGTAGGTGAGCTGATTCTCTACCCTGCCATTTGCTATCCTACCCTTTTGGCCCCCCCCCGAGACGCGGGTATCCCCGAGGCGCTCGACACACGCAGGCTCCTGCCTCGAATCAGGGCGCGCCCGCAGCTCTCCAGGCTCGGGAGGGGCCCGAACGGTGTGGGGGCCGTCCACGAGGTTGGTGACGACTGCGTGTGTCAGAGCGCGGTGTTTTGGGGGGGGCGGGAACAAAAACATATGTTGATATCGCACGCTTTTTTGGAGTTGATCATGCATGCTGGCGATGTTGATCGTCGTTCTCGTCGTCTTCGCCGGCACGGCGGAGGAGCAGGATCCCGGGAGGATCGAACTCCGAGAATCGAGCTTCGAGGATCGAATTCCGAGGGTCGAGGTTTCAACCCCCTTCGGAAACGAATCAACCACTTGACAAATACTTAATCAAGCACTTGACAAATACTTGCCTCCGCAGTTGTCCCGGCACAAGGAAGGCGAGCAGGAGGAGGAGGGGGAGTCAGAGGAGCGAGGCTCTCGGGAGGCTGGCGTTCGGCCGCTGCCGAGGGTGCCTCCGAAGCCCCGGAGGCGCCCTCTCCTTCGAGGGGTGGCTGCGTGGAGACACTTTACGCAGCAGTCAGCGGCGCGTGCAGAGGCTTTCCAGACAGGTAAACAACGATCTGGTGATGCCAGCAGGGGGGCGCTGGACCAAGGTGGCCCCGGGACCTCCACCAAGGAGCCGACCTCCAGCTCCCCTCGCGAGGCCCAGAGGGGTTCCAACGGCTCCAGAGTGGCGCGAGAAGTTACGTCGGGCGTGTCCCCCTACAGGGGGACTGGTCGGCGAAACATAAAATATACCCAAAAATATTCCACAATGGTCCAAAAATATCCAACAAATAAGCAAAACATCGTCCCCTGACTATTTTTGGACTATTTTTGAATATTCCTCCTGTAGAGGGACACGCCCGACTTAAGCGAGAAGCTGGGGGCAGGCACCGTCCGAAAAGAAGGTGCCAGCCGAAGATGTGTGTTGCTCGAGCGTTCGCCAGGGCCGCTGCTCCACCGCGCGTGGTCTGCCAGGGGCGCAGGGACCCACCCTGGGGGGGCGAGAAGGAGGAGGAGGAGGGGGAGGAAGAGGAGAAGGTGAAGGTAGAGGAGGAGGAGGAGGAGGAGGAGGAGGAGAAGGAGCAGGAGGAGGAGGAGGAGGAGGAGGAGGAGGGAGGAGGAGGAGGACGCGAGAAGAGGAGGAAGAGGTTGGGTTGAGGAATAGGAAGAGGAGAAGGAGGAGGAGGAGGAGGAGGAGGAGGAGAAGGAGAAAGAAGGAGGAGGAGGAGGCGAGAAGAGGAGGAAGAGGCTGGGTTGAGAATAGGAGGAGGAGGAGGAGGAGAGGAGGAGAGGAGAAGGAGAGGAAGGAGGAGGAGGAGGAGGACGCGAGAAGAGGAGGAAGAGGTTGGTTGAGGAATAGGAGGAGGAGAAGGAGGAGGAGGAGGAGGAGGAGAAGGAGAAGGAAGGAGGAGGAGGAGGACGCGAGAAGAGGAGGAAGGGTTGGGTTGAGGAATAGGAGGAGGAGGAGGAGGAGGAGGAGGAGGAGGAGGAGGAGGAGGAGGAGGAGGAGGAGGCGGAGGCGGAGGCGGAGGAGGAGGAGGAGGAGGAGGAGAATTGGAAGGACCAGTCGAGCAGGAGGAGAACGACGGCAAGGAGGGGACGAAGGACCAGGCGTCGGATTCATGCGGGAGGGCGAGAGAGGGGGGGGGGCGGAGGAGGCGGAGGATGGAGCGCGGGGAGCGGAGCAGGAGGAGGGAGGAGGCGGAGGATGAGGGAGGAGGAGCGAGCAGGAGGAGGAGGAGGAGGAGGAGGAGGAGGAGGAGGGGTTCCGAGGAGGAGCAGAGGGACGACAGCGGGAGAAGAAGGAATTCGACAACGGCGGCGCCTTCGACAGCGGCGGCAGGCGGCGCCGCCGAGCCTCCGCAGGGCCTCGTCGAACGCCTCGTGCTTAACATGCTGCGCGCCGCGCTGCCGGGAAGGACCGCCGTCGCCGTCGCCGTCGTTGTCGTCGTCGACGTTGCCGTCGTCTCCGTTGCCGTCGTCGTCGTCACTCCTCCTCCTCCTCCTCCTCCTCCTCCTCCTCCTCCTCCCTGGGACTCCCCCCTGGAACTTCCTGCGACCCCCTCCCCCCCTGGGATTCTCTGAGGTATCCACGGGGCCTCGTCGCGTGCTCGCCGTCCTCGCCGTCGTCGTTGTCACAGACGTCGTCGCCCTCGTGCCTGTCGTCGTCGCCGCCGTCGCCGCCGTTGTCGTCGTGGTCGTGGCCGTCGTGATCGTGGTCGCCGCGGCCCTAGGGCCGCGATGCGGCACGTCCGCCCTTGGCGGGTTCGAGGTTCTCCCGTCCTTCGGCCCCAGAGAGGAGCGCGGAGGGGATGAGGAGGGCAGATGGCGGGCCGATGGAACCCGCAATTGGCGAGTGCGAGCCGAATCCCAGGGAGGTGTTCCCGATCGTTGCTTCTCTAGGCTAAAGGCTAAAGGGTGCCTGACCCCGTGGTGGGCCTCTCGGTGCCGGCGTGCTGATTGCGTGCATATGCATTTGGCGGCCTCCAGCCACCACTCAACTTTTGACATTGCTGCGACAAGAAGGGGTTGCCCTCTTACGGACTTATGGGGCAATTATCGTGCACAGGAAGGTGGGGCCTGGAGGATCTGATGTTTTGCCCAATGGTTCCCAGGGTGAAAGACGGGACGGATGGGACGAGACGCGGTAGAGGGACTTGGGCGAGGAGACAGGGATGGGGCGGGAGGGGGGGAGTCGGGGAACGCCACCTAAGCTCCGACACCAGTCCTGCGCAGCCCAACAGATGGTCCAGTATCGGAGTACGCTTTCTTCGCCTCACCAATGCGCTCTTCAAATGGGCGAAGAGAGAGGAGTGGAGTGGAAGGGGGAGTCGGGGAAAACACGTCCTGACCAGCCCAATCTTGGGCCCAGGATGGATCAGAGTCCTCTTGCATTGGCTTCGCTGGTGGGCTCTTCAAGAGGTAGAGATAAGAGGGAGGGTAGGGCGGGAGGGAAGCTGAAGAACCCCGGCTGTGCCCCGACTGCCCAGCCCAATCCTGGCTCCAAGATCAGAGCACCTGAGAGTACGCAGGCGTTTGCCTCGCCAGAGCGCTCGTCAATGGGCGAGGAGTGTGGAGGAGCAGGCGGGAGGCAGGCGGAGAGAGTGGGAGAGTGATCAAGCGACGAGGAGGAGGGGGGAGGGCGGATGAGGAGGAGAGGGGAGGTAGGGAAGAGGCGGCGGGGGGTGTACGAGGAAGAGGAAGAGGAGGAGGAGGAGGAGGAGGAGGAGGAGGAGGAGGAGGAGGAGGAGGAGGAGGAGGAGGAGGAGGAGGAGGGGAAGGATGCAACTTGCATGCGTGGGCCCGCAAGCAGCCAGCGTCTGCCCCGGCGTCGCGGGACGGGAAGGGCGGCCCTGGCCCAAGATTGTCCCAGCTTTTCCAGGGAAGCTTCGGTTGACTTTTATTTAGAGCACACGTCAAGAGGCCCACGGGGGGGCCCCAGGGGTTCCAAGACGGCACGAACGGTTGTGGGCACCTGAGTCCGTAGACATTCGGGCTCAACCATGCGACTCAAGATCCCCGGGCAACGCCTAGTCGTGTCACATGCAACTGTGCCGGTTTGGTTTGCAATGCACACGGCCTGGTTGTTTCTTCTTCCATCCGACCCCACCTTGGCGGCCATCCGACCTTTCAGGCCATCAGGTGGCGGCCCCTGACAACCACCTTGCAGAGACGGGATGGACTGCAAGAGACAAGACTGCAGCAAAGCCTTGCAGAGATGGTATAGTATGTGCACGACCCGGTTGCCACTTTAGTCATCCACCGGGACATGTGGCGCCAGAGTTTCCAACATCATGCAGAGATGGCACACTTTGTGAGCGAGTGGATTGCCGGTTCAGTCATCCAGCAGGCCGTGTGTCGGGGGTCACAGTGACATGCAGGTATGGTGTAGATTGTGCAAGACAGGATTGTCATTTCGGTCACCCGCTAGGGCGCGTGAAGACAAGCGCGGTGATACCGTGCAGGGCTGGCGCCCAATGCACGAGGCGTGACTGCAGCTTCGGCCATCCGCCTGAGCGTTTGGATCCAAATTCGGAAGAAGCGATTTGCGAGAGGTATGGCAGAAGCTTATTTGTAGGCCAGCTTTGTATAAAACCAGGTGTAGAAACAACAAACAGCGATCTCAACAAACACTTCAAGCAGTTTGGAGAGATTGTGATTCTGAATGTTGCGCGGAAAAACAAGGACGCGAGGGCACCAAGCCGTGGATTTGGACATGTCGAGTTTCGCTCTAGAGAATCAGCTGATGCAGCGATTCGAGTTGGGCATCCTGTGTGGGCAGTGGAACGCCGCAAGAATCAAGCCAGCGTCGGGAGCTTTCAGTCAGCTGTTGATGGCCACCGTCTCACAGTGGAGTCCACGAAACTTCGATTGAATCCGCACGACATCCTGTTCACCCACGAGAAAGTATCGTTCTGCTTCACAGATGGCAAATCTGTTGACAAAGCAATAGAGGATTTTGCGGCTGGCAAGGGACGCTTCGAAGATTGTCCACCTCTTCACGTCGTCAGGCACCCTGCAAACCATCGCTACTACTCTCTTTCGAACCGCCGGCTATTTGTTGCACGCGTTCTCAGCACTCGTGGAGTCAAGTTTGGAGAGCGTCAGGATAAAGACACTGTAGAAGTGTGTTTGCTTCCATTCTCCAATGAGCACGTGCTGTCTAAATGGGCGGTCTCTATGCGAACGGAGTGCGGCGGATTGTTCGTCTTCCCCTCTGGGCGTTGTGGCGTTTGCCGGCTCAAGCATGAGAGCAAGTTTATGGAGGAACAGATACGGATCACTGCCTTGGATAGGCCGAAGATCGAGTTGATGCAGAGCATGTTGAGGCAGAGCAGAATGATATGCGAAGGCTCTGACATCGAGCCCGATTTCTGAAGTCGTTCGAACTCTCGAGCTTGCCTGCATTGACAAAAGATGGGGCCCACGGCCAGCATCGTTTGCTCCGAGTGTCGCGCCGCCGGTTCGCGTCCACCACACTTCGGCGCGACACGCTCATCAGCACGTCCCGGCCCCCAAAAGCATCAGCGCTCCGGGCTGCTTCCAGCGTCCCGCCCCGCGAGGCAGAGCGACGCGCCATCAGCTCGCAGGGCATGGCCTGCCGCAGGGGCCGCCGCCGGGACGCGCCAAGCAGCAGCTCCGCAGGTGGGGTCGGAGGATCGCGCAGCATCGCCGGCGAGATTTCCAGGGTGGGTTTCTTCTTGTCTCGCGCAGCCACAGACGAATGGCCAAGTACGAACTGCGGAGAGCCGCTAGAAACTCCAGTACGCCCAGAACGCATCGTGAGCCAATCGAACCATGACGTTGTTCTCTTCCGAAGAACAGCCACGAGGAAAGAGGGTGGGGGAGAGGGAGGGCCGTGAAGACGGCAAGCGCAAGCGCCTGGGGAAAGAAACGGGGGGGAGCAAAGGTGCGCCCTCCCGTCATGTTTTCAGACGCGGGGTGGAAGCTTGTGTGCCCCTGGCTCGCCCCCTGTCGACTGCCCCCCCCCCCCCCTCGCCAGCATCAGTCTGTCAGGGGCAACGTCAGGGGAGATATATAGCTCAGGGGGGGATGCAGTGACCCCGAAACGGTTGGTGATCGTCGAAAAGAGGCCCGATGTCCCACCCCCTGCCCAGGAACCGAGAGGACTCGCAGTCGAGGGCCTGTCGCCGATCCATCCGAGATGCATCGCCGATTCCAGGTCGCTGTTCCCCCCACCCAAGAGCCAGCTCCCCCCCCCCCGTAGATGCCCCCCTCGATCCGGGAGGACGGAGGCGCGGGAGAGGCGGAGGAGGCGGAAGTTTCGCTTCGTCTTGTTCGGGGTGGCGCCGCAGGCCCGCACGCCGAGGCGCGCTCTCTCTGCGCCCGCGTGCCCGCGACGCTCGCGCCCCGTCGTCTCCAGCATCACAGGGCGGGTGGGTGAGCACCGTCGTTACTCCGCCGCTGCTCGCCCCCCCCCCCACTGGCACTGACCTCGACGTGGTAGCTGACGTCGTTGGGCCTCCTCCTCCTCCCCCTCCTCCTCCTCCTCTCCCCCTCCTCCTTCTCCACCTCCTCCTTCTCATCCCCCTCCTCCTCCTGCTGCTCCTCCTCCTCCCCCTCCTCCTCCTCCTGCTGCTCCTCCTCCTCCTCCTCCACCTCCTCCTCCTCCTCATCATCCCCCTCCTCCTCCTCCTCCTCCTCCTCCTCCTCCTCCTCCTCCTCCTCCGTAACCATTTTGGCTCAAGATGCCTGCACTTTGGGGGCACCGCGCCTCCGTGCCTGCAGGGACACCGCTGTCACCGCGGCTGGCAAGGCTGTTCAGCCTGGCATTCGTTTTCTGCCTTCACGGGGGGAGTTGGGCACCCTCACTGAGCCCTGCTACCGACTTCCCTCATACTCATTTGGTGTCGTGGATGTCGACTGCGCATGGAGCCGCTAAGAAGGCTGCTGGCGTCATCAAGACTGGCAAGGAAGGCAGGCGTACTCCTCGTGCTGCTCGTGGTGCTGCTGCATCTGCTGGGACTGGCAGTGTACCCGCATCCCCTGCGCCCGTCCCCATGGATAACGACGACTCCGACGACGGTGACTGCTTCAGTGAGGAGCACCTCCGCGCGCTCTGCACGGACATCATCGCTCAGCAGCTTGGCTCGATCAAGCATCAGGTTGACGAAGTCGTGGCTGCCTCCATCAAGGAGTCCGTGGCCAAGGAAGCTGCGTCGACCGGAGACTCGTTCAAGGTCAACTTCGACAAGTGCTTCGCGGCTTGCCAGGAGGACCTCAAGGGCATCGACAAGAAATTGGTTTCTCAGATTGTATCCACTCTCACCCCCAAGTTGGATGAGATCCGCCGCGAGTTCCATCTCAAGTATGATGACCTGTCTGAGCGCCTCGATTCCGTCAATGCGACCATCAGTGACCACACGTCGACGCTGGAGGAGATCCAATCGACTGTCAA